TAATAATAATAATAATAATAATAATAATAATAATAATAATAATAATAATAATAATAATAATAATAGTGTAGTTTTATATAGCGCACATATCCATCTAATGTAAGATGCTCAGGGCGCTTTATATGTGGAATAGGAACTCGACCAATGACTTTCTTCGATCCTAAGGGTCCCTTCGTGTCTGTGCTACCCGGTAGCATTCCATGGTCTGCTTCATCGAACAAGTCCATTCTGAGAATAAGGATGATGATGATGATGTCATGATGATGATGATGATAATGTGGTGGTGGTGATGATGATGATGCTGTTACTGATAACGATAACAATTATGCTGCTGATGATAATGAAGACGATGACGATGACGATTATGTTGTTGCAGATGAAAGTGTTGCTGATGATGATCATAAAGATAGAGATGACGATAATGATGATGATAATGATTGTAATGATAATAACGTACGACGATGATAATAATGACAAAGATTATAATGATGACGACAATAATAATGATAATTATTAGTAGTATTACTGTTGTCGTTAATGAATGTGTTGTTGTTGATGATGATGATGATGATGATGAATGATAGTGCTGGCGATAAAGATGATCATTGTGGTGATGTTGATGACGATGATAATTATTATGATGATGATCATGACAAATACAATAATGCTGATGACAATGAAAATGACAATGATGACGACGATATTATGATGATAATGATGATGATTTTTCTTAAAACAATGCTTTAAATTATATAAAACAAACGTTTCAAAGTCCATATGGGTTACTGCATAACCAGACAACAATAGAACAATATTTACGCAGCACGGCATCCAAATAATCGCAATTAATTAACAATTGTACGCCTTAATTTAGGAAAACAACACATTTGCGGGCGGGCGATGAGTAGTAACGAGTTTGATTTACAAAACAAAGGTAGTCAGGTGATTCAACTCTTGATACCAGTTTGAACTAAACCAACCACGAAAGTGTACCCAACCGTTATAACAGTAA